ACTGCCACTGACCTCTCTGGTCAAGTGAATAATATTTTTATGCATTTTTTAATATAGGTATCTCAAAATATGGACATTCTTGACCTCACTTGCGTATTTGATTTTTTATGATTTTTTGTACTAGGTCACTGATTGCGGCATTAAATTTGTAGATAAAAACTGGCCCCTGCCCCCTAAAGTCAATATCGTGGCCCATAACCACGGCACTTTCTGATGAAAGAATCCATGTTTATGGAAGAGTTACTGCCGACTGTAATCCATCCATGCCTACGTGCAATTTGTGAGTAATGGGTTACTGCGGACTGCGCCTTTGTCGCCTGTATCAATAATTAGCTCCGTTCCTACGGCAGTTTATGAGAAATGTGTCCCTGTTACTGTGGACTGTGCCGTTTTCGTATTAATTTGTAACAAGATGCAAAAACTTAAAAATATAATGTTTAGTATCCAGACTACGCATATTACATATATCAGTATGAAAGCAGACAAGAGATGTTTATAAAAGTCCTTTTCTGTTGCCTGCTAAAAAGGGGAAACTGTTTTATGTTATTGGCAAAATTCTCATTCTTTAATGTTTTATCCATACATAAAGGCTGTGCCGGATTAAAGCCTTCCAGGGTCCTAAGCACTGAAAATATTATGGTACCTTCCCCCCATGTTAAATTTAAAAAATTATTAAATGCTAAAAGGTGGGAAAATGCCAGTGTTGCCATCATTCCAAATCAAAATATTTGTACATGTACATGTAAAGGTCATTCATTAATTTTTATCATTAGCAATTAACTTCAATTTTTTTTCTGGTGCCCTAAGCACGTGCTAAGTGTTCTTAATGAGTAAAATCGGCAATGGGTAATGCGTTCGTCTTTCATTCATTTTGAACTATACCAAACATTCAAAGGCGCAACAGATTGTCTTATCATACATAGTATGAGTGCAAATAAATCGTTATGGAAGTTGTTTTCGTTTGTTTCATTGTTAGTTTTTCATTTCTTAAAAAGTATCACCAGACAACACCGTAATATAAATATCAATCCGGTATTTAATAATCGAGTATAGCATATCAATGACAAATTAGTATTGTATATAATGGTAATCCAATATTTTACATAAATGATTATCCAGTCTTATATATAAATAAAAAGTCAGTAATGGATATTGATGCAAATCTCTAGTCATAAACTAAATAACATAAAAATCAAAACCAAAAAGTTTTGTAAACTTAACGAATGATTTAATTATCAAAGTTATAAAAGAAAATGTAACATAAACTTTCAGTATCACGAAATAAATCCAAAATAATCCTAAAAAGTACTATTAAAGTCCAAAAAGAATTGAATGATCGAAATGGATTTCAGATTCTCGAATTTACGTTTCACAATGGCATTGTCCAGAACTCATTTGAATAATTCACATTATTCTCAAAAAAGTCTTTTAGTCCGATGAGAACTTTGTAGTTCCAAGGAGTAATAAACAAATGTTTCCTCTCAGATAATATCTAAAGACAACATTAAACACGCCTGAAGAACACAAGAAATAAGACTGGCCACAACTGTCCAGCTCCAAGTATTATCATCAATAGCCAGCTCTTACTTTGTATCTCCTCTTCTTCCTTTGCAATTTCTTTCCTTTGCGTTTTCTGTTTGCTCTAAATTTGATCAGCGTTTGGTCAGCACGGTTGAATGCAAACCAGTTCGAATCCGGTCTCATCTTCCAATCTATGGGTAAGCTGATTTATTTTATATTTTAATAAAGGTATTTTTTTTAAAATAGAATCAATAATTTTACTGAAAAATTCAAAATCAGATTTTTCTTATCTTTATTGAATTTTTGTTTGATTTTTATGTTCATTTTATTTTGGTGTCATTTTTATATTTATATCATTTTGGTATGATTTTGATGTTCAGTTTAATTTGATCTGATTTTATGTTTTAGTAATTTGGCGTGATTTTTATGTTCATTTCATTTTTGGTGTAATTTTAGTTTCATTTATTTGGTTGTGATGTTTCTGTCTATAGTTCTTGGGTGTGATTTTTATGTTCATTTCATTTTTGGTGTGATTCTAGATTCATTTATTTTGTTGTGATGTTACTGTTTATAGTTCTTTGGTGTGATTTTTATGTTTATAGCATGTTGGTGTGATTCTAGATTCATTTATTTTGTTGTGATGTTACTGTTTATAGTTCTTTGGTGTGATTTTTATGTTTATAGCATGTTGGTGTGATTCTAGATTCATTTATTTTGTTGTGATGTTACTGTTTATAGTTCTTTGGTGTGATTTTTATGTTTATAGCATGTTGGTGTGATTCTAGATTCATTTATTTTGTTGTGATGTTACTGTTTATAGTTCATTGGTGTGATTTTTATGTTTATAGCATGTTGGTGTGATGCATATGTTCATTTTATGTTAGTGTGATTTGTATGTTTATCTTACTTTGGTGTGCTTTTATGTTCATTCTTTCTTTTGCTGTGGTCTGTATGTTCATTTTATTTTGCTGTGATTTTTATGTTCATTTTGCTTTGGTGTAATTTTTTTACTTTTATACTATGTTGGCGTGATTGCCATGATTTAGTACGTTGGTGTGATTTTTGTGTTTTAGTAATTTGGTGTGATTTTTATATTTGTATTATTTTGGTGTGCTTATAATGTTCATTTTACTTTGGTGTGATTTTGTTTATAGTACTTTGGTGTGATTTATATGTTTTAGTACTTGGTATGATATTTATGCTTATTGAACCTTGGTGTGATTTTTATGGAATCAAGTTTTACTCAAAGTACCTTTCCCAGCTGTTTTTTCTTGCTGTTTAGAGTCTCTAAAAGCTATGTGAGGACCCGTTTATTAAAGAGATTAGTTGGTGTTTTTCGTATATTTTCTGGAATCGGTTTCTATGTCTTGGATGTGAATATTTTCTGGAATCATGATGTTTGGCATTTTCTGGAATCAGAATGCATGTTTTAGGTGTTGCTTTGTCTATGTCTTTTACTGTTCTTTTCCTGCGAAAAGAAGCACACTGATATCCGGATCGTTTTTACTGCAGTAGGTAATTTAACATGAAATCTGTCACATATATTTCTTGCAATGATAAGTCTGCCATTATCAAAAGCCGTTAAAGGCGTCAACGGAACTCCAAGCAACACAGATCCGCTCAGAGATCGAAACTTTCATTAAGAATTTAAGATTAAGAATAACAACCAGGATGTAAATTGTATTGTGTCACCGGCAATATTATTCTAACCAATGAATCAGGAATAACATGGCCACTCCCCTAGGTTTTTTTCAACACATCATGGCTTTTCTACTTTTCTACAGAATCTAAGAGGTGCATTCTGTCGCAATAATTGAAAGGACTAACGCTGAAGGAATAAGTCATTAAAAATGATGAAGGTTAAAATTGCTAGTGTATGCATAACAATAATAAAGACTATCCCATAATGTGACTATATATATATATATATATATATATATATATATATATATATATATATATATATATATATATATATATATATATATATACATCTAAATTGAAAGGGCGTGAAACCATGGTGACTATTTAATTGAATCATAGACAATGCTAACAAATTTACAGTGACGTATAATCAGTATATCCTGTCCTGTAGGAAAGAATTGTTAATGTTATGCCTTGCATGTAACTGTCTGGCGGACATACATCCGATTGAATGTTATGCTCGAAACACATCATTTGCATAACTAATTTTTTGTAACTTATTAGGTTTTCGAAAACTTTTCTTCCTCTTATATGAATAAGATAAAAATATTCCGTGTAGTTCGGGTAAATAAGACTTCATATGTTGTGCTTTATAGCGATATTTATCAACCCCAATAACAATATAACAGTCAACAAATCACTAAAATAATAATAACGCTGGTATTTTCCAACCTCTATAGCTTTTAATATTGGGGAAGGGGGATTTGAGGGGTGTCACATTTTGTAGGAGGAAAAGTGGCACCAACATATTTTCAGTGATATATGCTCTGGAAGGCTTTAGTCCATCTCTGACTCTGACACTCACCTAATAGTGATTTTCATTTTGTTTTATAGCTTTGACACTTATCGAAAAGGTGGTGTTAATTTTTGTCTTGTATTTTACATGGAATTTCTATGAAAATGTTTCAGGATAATCTTTATTAAATGATATTTTATAAAAAAGGAAACATTCCAGTTTATTCAGACATCTTTTTTTCAAAACTAGATTGATGTATTTTCTGAATATTGCTTTTGCTTGACAACATAGGATAAATTATAAATACGAAGTGAATGGGCGATATAATGCAATGCAACGAAAGTACTACCATCTTGTAATTTTATTTTGACAGGATTTTATTCACTATTATGTTTTAATTCTTGAAGAATAACATTTAAACTTTCTTGTAAAATTAAATAAATGATTTTTATATTTGACATATCTACTTTGTTTTTCTTACAAAACATTTTACTGTTCTTCTGGAAGCTCAACACAAATATAACTACTTCGATGCTTAAAATAAAACTGTATTTGGTAGAAATTTATGTCAGTCCTGAGACAAATTTTCGTTTGGTTTGTATCGGTAATTTCACAAAAACTATCGTTCTGGTCACATTCATTGCCAGCCGAAATTATATTTGACTCAGAGGGTATCACTTTCTGACCATGTTCTCGGTGTCAGTCATCATGAGATTCGATTCGGAGGTTGTAACTTTCTGATCACGTTCGATATCAGTCGACATGAGATTCGACTCAGAGCGTGTAACTTTCTGGTCACGTTCGGTTTCAATCGACATGAGATTCGACTCGGAGGGTGAAACTTTCTTCCCAATCATATAATTAGGAATAATAATGCACATAATAGAGATATGCATAACAAAATTGCACGATTTAAGCAATCTTAATCGCCGCCACCTTCCTCAAGTGTTTAAAGCAAGAAGTCACTTCCATTCGTTCAACGTGCCATAGATTTTAGGTTTCCTCCCTGTTACGTCCTTGTAGAATTGATTTTCGTGGCGACCGCTCAGGTGGCCTAGTGCTTAGAACGTCCGCCTCAGATGCGGGAGGTCGCAGGTTCGAACCCCGGCCGAGTCATAACAAAGACTTTTAAAATGGTACTAGCAGCTACTTGGCTTGGCGATCAGGGTTAAGAGGTTAGTGTTAGGGCTGCTCGGCCAGGTGTCAGGATTATGCGACTTGGTGGGACATGGTGTCCCAGTGTTAGACGTAATTATAAACTGTCTCACTGCAGACATCATAATATTTCAAAATCTACTATGAAAATGCCTATATTGTCTAGCATTGAAACATCAAGCCACAGACATGTACCACAAAGTCACATTATCCTGGCACCAGGCCGACCAGTCAATATAAAAAAATGAAAAGAAAAAAGTTTAATGCAAATTTTCTATGACTGTAAACAAAGATCAAAGAGCAAATGTGCATGTCACAATAAATTATCATTGCTTCGTTATGATTCATTCTAAATATAAACAAATCTATCACTGGCAAATGAAAATACATTAATTTTAATCTTACTGTAAACTGGATAAGGTTGTGCCATTGACTACAAGGTTACAGGGTGAGCAAACGAGGTAGAATTAATTGTCTTATTTTTTTATTGACGAATGGCATAGCATCTATTTAGTATCTTTGGAAATATTAGCATACGAAAAAACTTAACGAAGATTTTCTATGCACTTGAAGTCAAGGTAAAATTGTCTCGTTAGCATGGTATACAATGAATTGTTCTAGAGTCATAATTATTCATGTGAGGCACGACGAGAATCTACAAAGGATTTAGGAAATGCACGCTAATTGAATATTGTAACAGAAAACCTTAACTGTTGACGTCGCAGATGCCGCCGTCGGAAAAGACACTATTATGTTTCGCTCGAAATCGAAATAAAAATTGAGTGGAGTACTGAATAAGATTACAGTGACCTACTTTAGTTATGTTTGTGCTTCTCACCTAAAAGCGTCTACAAAGTTGCATTACTCTGTGACTTACAATGCGCTAAGAACTGATCTAAAATTTTGAAAGCAGGATATCAGTTAAAAAGTCTAATAAAAGTCATTGGAAACTTTTTTAGACAGAGGTTTTGGGGAGATGGGGTAAGTGCCGGTCATTTCGTACTATCACGAATCAAATAGTCATCCCGTGATAGCAGTACAAAATATATGTAATGTAATCAACATGACACATAATTAAAATGTGCGCAAGAGTAATACAGAAAAGAACATAAAAGTGTCTTCCTATGGCGATTTCTAGAAACAGGAATTGGAACTTTCATCCAACGCTATACAATTCGACAGACATCCGGGTATCTGTAAAACAGAATAGGATCTTTTAACCACCGCTATGCAATTCAGTATATAAAGTTGACACATGAAATGAAACTTTCAACACCAACAATTTAAGACAACCTGTGCATTTGAAATTCTCGGCACATCACTATGAAACTATCACTGTAACTTTCTCATTCGACCAGCCTTTATCAGCTATGGCGCATCATACCCTGTAAGTTAAATCTTAGGTCGACTGACAATGTGTGTGTGTGTGTGTGTGTGTGTGTGTGTGTGTGTGTGTGTGTGTGTGTGCTGTTCTTACAACTCTATAGTCTTAGACTAAGTCACAGAAACAGGCTAAAACACACCAAAAATAACATTAGGCAAATCATATCCTCAGTTATAAACAAAAGTCAAAACCACATTACAAAATTAAATATACAGAAAAAGTGTGTGTGTGTGTGTGTGTGTGTGTGTGTGTGTGTGTGTGTGTGAGAGAGAGAGAGAGAGAGAGAGAGAGAGAGAGAGAGAGAGAGAGAGAGAGAGAGAGAGAGAGGTTTTGTTTTCCATTTCCATTTTAGGCATCATGTTTATTATCAAAGAACTAAATTGAAATCTAACATAAAGTTCAGTTGTCTTTCAATGTCCTGTTCACAAACTAGTGATTACACACACACACACACACACACACACACACACACACACACACACACACACACACTACCAAGGCTTTACGATGCGATCTTTTATTTGATTACATGAGCTAGCATCAGACACGGTTTGGCACGAAAGGCAGGGTACAGTCCTACAGATGTCGATTGTTCCGAAATCTCAAGCACGCGACGAGTAGTAACATAATATATTGGAAAGCAAGAAAATCAAAGGTCAATGTTAAAAAATAGATTCTCATAGCACATGTGTCATAACAGAACGTTTTCAATTCCTTCGTGATGTAAGGATTAACAGCTATAATTAAAAGCCCATCTAGTGGAAACTTCGTGCATCAAACGGGACGAAACTATGCAACTCTCCAAGGGGAATTTTCTTGCATCTAATGGGATATAACTATGCGAACACAACATTGTATAATTTTTTGGGAAAGCATGCAAATCTACGAGATTTGGAACAATTTTGCGTCAGGAGGAAATGGTTTAGTTTACTCCAATGAGCACAACAGAATTGCAGACGGACACATAAACTAGCAGACAATATATTAATCTTTGGATTATGGAAATATGTTTCATTTACAAATCATCAGATTCATTCCCTCCGTGTATCCCCTCCCTCCCGCACCCCTAAAAACTTGAGCTAGTTGTCCGTCAATAAATGCAATAAAAGTTTATTTACTATTCAAATGTACTGCTGGAAAAATGTTTCTCTGTTGGATAATTGTGAATAATTACGGCTTTGCATCGAGACAGCAATTGTTTGTGTGTGTGTGTGTGTGTGTGTGTGTGTGTGTGTGTGTTCAAATAAACGTCTAATATTGAAGACAATGCATGCAACTCAAAACATCCTATTACGACGCAATATGAACGCGTTTTCTTTGTCTAACTCTTTAAAATCATGCAGTGGTTTTTTTTTTTATTTCATCCAACCCAGCGAAACCCATCAACCTGGATATGCAGATTAACTGTAGACGCCTTGATATTATGATCCTTAATGATCGTTAGGGTCAATTAATATAATTATCCAACAAAGCTGTGTGTCAGATGTACATATGCTATCCTAGATTTAAACTCCTAAACAACACGATTTTAACTCTTTAAATCAATTTTCATTCATGAACTCGATTTTAACTCTTAACAACAAGATATAACACTTAATCAGCTTCATGCAATACGGATGCTTAGTATTTGATTATCTACTCTGTCGGTGTACTGATGGTAATTCCTTAGAAACATGGAGGACTAACCATAATCATAAGGTTTACACAAACTTTTTATAAATACACTAGAAGCGGTCAAAGTAGAGTCCAAATTGTGATACAATATTAGCTGGCATATATCCTTCTTGATCATTGGACTCTTATGCTGTGACTGTCAATGGTTGTCTTTTTTGATTATTGGAGTCGGATACAGTGACTGTCATAGGCTGCCATTCCTGGTATTGCAGTCTGATACAGTGACTGTCATAGGCTGCCTTTCTTGGTATTGCAGTCTGATACAGTGACTGTCAATGATTGCCTATCTTGATTACTGGAGCCTGATACACTGACTGTCAATGATTGCCTATCTTGATTACTGGAGCCTGATACACTGACTGTCAATGATTGCCTATCTTGATTTCCCAGATATTTTCATTACACTATGCATTATGTATGACGTTTAGCGTGCGTTGCTTGCAACTGGCTTTATTATTTTGTTAACTAATTAAAATTATAAGCATTACCATGCATGAATGTTCAACATCTTTTGCAAGCGACAGTCAGTGTGCATTTAAATCAGATATTAATTGATCAAGGAAAACGTTTCTGGTAGAAAACAAATTTTGAGGACTAATGTATTGATAGTATTATTAAGGACAAGTTAGTTCTATACAATCTTTGACATATTCGTCAACATCTTAAACTTTATATGACACATTAGTCATCATTAAATACATTGTATGACACGTTGTTCATCATTATGTACATCGTATGACACATTGTTCATCATTATGTACACTGAATGACACGTTAGTCAATATAATATACATTGCGAGACACGTTAGTCATCATTATATACATTGTATGACACATTTATATTCATTATAAACATTGTATGACACGTTAGTCATCATTGTGTATATTGTATGCCACATTGGTCATTATTATGTATATTGCATGCCACGTTAGTCATCATTATATATATATATATATATATATATATATATATAATATATGTATATATATATATATATATATATATATATATATATATATATATATATATAAAGAATACAAATCATATGGCGAATAACAACCCTTTCAAGCGTACTGGATCCACCAAGGGATCACGTGTGTCAGGGATTGATTAAAATAGATGCAATAAACTGACGACGAACAGTACGAAACTAGTAACTAACTAGTAAAGCTGTACAGAAGCCCGGTCGCAGAACACTTCTCCCCTGGCCACACTTTCAGTGATATAATACTTATCGCTATTGCTAACAACCACAGCTGGAGTTCCGAAACCAGGAAGGGAAAGGAATCCTACTGGATACGCCGCCTTAGAACATTGAAACCAAGCGGTCTAAACCAAGAAGACTAGAAAATGAAAACTATGCACTAGTAGAATTTAACATTTTCTAAATCTTCTTATTATCCTTCAATTTTTACTATAAGAATAACCGGTATAGAATCAAATATCCGGGGTATAATCTGCGTTACATAAATGTACAAAAAGTAAAAGTAGATGTCGCTTTGGCCTGTAGACTTTTAGGGAATTATACACCGTTTTCAGTTTCCGCAACTAGTCTATACAAGCTGGTTGTATTTATAGTTTTAACACATGTGGAGACAGCCATGTAGAGGTTTACAAACACAACGTTTTTGTGTTTACTTGTTTGTCGTATGTATGTTTTATATTTGCCTTTGAAAAAGACTCATTAAGAGTCGAAAGCGCTTAGTCTAGTTAGTTACTAGTTTCGTACTGTTCGTCGTCAGTTTATTGCATATATATATATATATATATATATATATATATATATATATATATATATATATATATATATATATATATATATATATATATATATATATATTGTATGACAAGTTGGTCAACGTTAAACATATTATGATAAATTAATCACTATAATCAATGACA